ATACGCGCCAGGGCGAGGATGTGGCCATCGGCGCCACATTCATCCCCAAGCACATGGTGGTGAGCGGCTGGGAGGCAGGGAGGCTGGGCTGGGCTGGCCTGGCCTGGGGGCGTGTGGGAGGAGGAGGTGGAGGGAGGGAGAGTGTGGCTGGGTTGTGTGGTGCTGCTCAGGGTCGCGACCTGCAGGCAAGCCGGCGTGCCGACCCTGTGCGCTGCGTCTGCCCCTGCTCTGCCGCAGCGGGAGGAGGGCAACCGGCTGGCGGAGTCACGGGTGTGGAGCCCCGTGAAGACCAAGAGGCAGGATGCGGCGGCCATGGTGGCGGCCACGGCGGCAGCGGGGGACGAGGAGGAGGAGGCGGGCGGCGGCGGCGGCGGCGGCCACGGCGCAGGCAGCGTGCCCGCCGCCGTCACCAGCCGCTCCTCGGCGCCCAGCGGCCTGTCGCAGGTGTCCACGCCGGTGCAGGCGGTGCAGCGGCGGCAGCGGCAGCAGCAGCGGAAGCAGGCGCTCAGCGGCGCCGAGCTGGAGGCGTACGATCAGGCCTCCGCCAGCCTGGGCTCGGCGCAGCGGCAGGAGGCGCAGGCAAGTCGCGGCGGCCCCGTGCGGGTGCGGCACGCCGGCGCAGCGGGGCGGCAGGCGGAGCTCGCCGCCGCTTAGCCGCGCCGCCCGCGGCGCTGCTGCTGCGTGGGCGGCAGCGCCCTCCAGGGGATGCACCCACATGCTCTGTACATTACGTACGCGCCAGATTAGGATTTAGGATAGATAGTTCTAGGCAGGCGCTTGTGCTCTGCACCGACACCAGGCATACACATATTTTATTAGGCAGGAACACAAGCATCTAGGCAGGCCAGCTCCACAGCTCAGCTAGGCTTAGATGTCACACACCTGTGCGCCGCCGCCGCCGCCGCTCGCCCCGCCGCCGCCCGCGGCTCTTCTCCCTCTCCCTTTCGCCTCTCGGCCTCTCACCGCCCGCTCCGCACCTCTGCCCCTCCCTCCCCCCGCGCCTCCCCGCAGGCCTCCAAGAGCGGCGAGGAGGAGAGCGCGTACCTGCGCTCCTACTTGCAGCGCGGCCCCAACAGCGCAGACCTGGGCGAGGGGGAGTGCGAGGAGTCGGCGGCGGCCAAGCGGCACCGCGAGTACGAGCTGCTGGACCAGTACGGCGCGCTGCTGGAGGCGATGAACGAGCGGGAGGACTGACGGCGCTTCCAGCCCGCGTCCCTTGCCGAGCGTGCAGCCCTGGCTGGCGTGGCGACTCGCCATCGGCGCCCCAGTGCCATGCACGCCGCCCCTCGTGGACCCACCTCCGCCCCTGCGTCAGCAACCAAACGAATGCCCCCCACACCTGATTTTCGCCTGCCCCATTCCCCCTCTCCGCTTTGTCGTGCCTGCCCCCGCATCAGTGTATTACCACCAGACAGTGCCCGACAGCGGCCCACCTGCAATCACACCTGGTCTTCTTTTCTCCTTGTGCTCCCCTGCCCACGTACCAATTGCTTTCTCTGCTGCCATGCAGCACCCCACTACTGTTTCCCTTCTCAGAACAGACCTTTTCTTCTCGCCGCATAATAGCAACCCCGCCAGCGAGCCCATCTGTCCCTGCCACACATTGGAAGCTGATGCTTTTGCGCCCTGCATCGTGCCACCCATCCGCCCCTGTCCTACACTTGCACTCCTTGGACATTTTGTACTCGAGCGCTTGCGGCTGCACGGCCCGCCTCCTCCGTGCCATGCAGCGGCGGCGCTTGCATCCCCTTTCTGGTCCGTGCCGCTCCCTCTGGATCCTTGCGTCATTTTGCGAGTAAGTGTAAACAGCGCGCATTTATTATGATTACCAGACAGCGGGCACACATCCAGATCAGGGTTTTTCAACAATGCAGAAATCGGCAGGGAGGGAGTGCGCATGGAACGTCACGGGTCTGTTCCAGGACGGATGGGGCTCAGTACAATGGATGAAGTGCCGGGGTGTCGGCCCCCGGAAGCTACCCCTTGAAGGCAGCAGAGGTCACGGGAGCCCGCTGGCTGGCTGTCAGCGCCGGCGCTCGGCATCAGGGGCAGGGGCCACCAGGTCGTCAGGCGTGGGGCCAGGGGCGGGGGAGGGCGCTCCAGCCGGGCCTGCAGTCAGCACGGTGCGCATGCAAGTGGGGGCTCTGTCCCTGGCCAGCCATCAGCATGAAGGCATGCTGGCATGGGAGCCGCCAGCCAGCCAGGCAGGCCAGCGGCGGCAGCCCCGCATGCGGCCCGCCCGCGTACCGCCGGCAGCCTTGGATGGGATCCACTCGCAGCCGCAGTCATCTGACAGCTTGGGCGACTCGCTCATCTCCTCCTCTGGGGTCTCCCACAGCTCCCTGCACCGGTCCACCGCCTGGCCCAGCAGGCTGCACCCCACCGCCGAGCTGCAGATCTGGTCGTCAAATGGCAGGTCTGCAGCGGCAGGCGGGGTGGGGCGGTAACTGCTGCTGTGCTCTGCTGCACGTGTGGCTGCCGAAGCCAGGGGCACGGGCCGACATGCCAGCGGCCTGGGCTGAAGGCTGCAGCAGCGCAGCGCCCTGAACGGGGCGGCTCTCGCTCACAGGTGTAATGCGGGGTGCTTGCATCGGTGTTGCTCGTGCACTTGAGGGCGCATTCGTTGGGGAACAGGGTGCCCTCCACCCCGGGGTCCCGCCCGTTGTGCACGCAGACCTTGCGGTAAGGACAGGGGATCAAGATGGGGATGTGATCAGGCTGATGCGGCACAGGCAAGGCAAGGCAAGGCAAGCACCACGCAAAGCGCCCGCGGGTACGTCAAGCGGTGCGCTGGGTAGCCTCACCGGGTCCCAACCATCCTGCGACAAGCACTCTGCTGCGCACTCGTAGTCGAACAGCGGGCCTCTGCAGAGCCGGGAACACAAAACGCAGATCGTTGCAGGCGGCCACAGCAGCGGACGGGTGAGCAGCAGCGGCGGCAGCCGGCAGAGACAAAAGACGGTAGGGGCAGGTACGCAGCCGAAACTACTTCAATACATCCCCATGTCGTCTAGCAGTGCAGGTAGAGTTGGAGAGAGGTGCGGGGCCAATGGGGAATGTTCGCTGCATGTGGCCATCGCTCCCGAAACACCCTTTAAAGCTATTCACACCTGGCCACGACCGCCGGCATCATCGCCGCGGCCAGTGCAAGCGCCAAAAGCGCAAGGGTGGCGCGGCGAGAAATCATGGTCGCGAGACGGGAGCACTGGACCTTGCGATGAGCCTGGATGCAGTAGACTTCCCAACGACAGCTGAAGGTTCTTGTTGGCTAGCCTTAGGTCCACAACGCGCAGGAGCGGCGACACATGGCATCCCGCTGGCGCCCTGCCGTCGACAGCTGTCCGGACATATCCCCCGCCTATCTGGAGCTTTCCCTGCCCACAAACGTTTCTGGAGATTGATGGATTGCATCACCTATCGCCATCAAGCCCCCGCAGCATGCACCACAATGTACAGGAAGTAGTCTGCTGCGTGCAGGTGGGCATGCAGCCAGGCCAAGGGCGCATCCAGCGGCGGCGTGACCCCGCCCACCAGCAGGCGCCGCTCTGCGGCTGCCGCCTCGAGCCAGCTTGCCGCCGCCGCCGTTCCATCCGGCTCGGCCGCTGCCTGCACCGCCCCATCTGCTTCTTCTGCTGCTGCTTGTGCGCCGCTGGATTGCTGGTCGGGAGCATCCTGGCCAGGCTCAGCCTCCGCTGCACCTGCTGCCTCCTCTGCTGCCGTCGGCGCAACGAGCCCTTCAGCGCCCGTACCGGCACCGGGCTCGCTGCCGCTGGCGCCTCCATCCCCCGCCGCGCTGCTGCTTCTGCCCACTGGCGTGCTGGGCAACGACTGCGCTGCAGGGGCTGCCTTGCCTGCTGCGGCGCCGCCGCCCGCCGCCAGGCACTCTGCCAGCAGCGGCAGCAGCACCTCGCGCAGGCTGATGCTGCCGCCGTCTGCCGCCTCCGCCTCCACCGGCCGGGAGGTGGCCGCAATGTCTTCGTAGCTGCTCAGATAACCTGCTGGCAAGCGGCCGCAGGCATGCCCAGTGGGCGCAGCAGGCATGGCAGGCAGCGCAAATGGCAGCACCAACGGAGCAATCACTGCTGGATGGTGGGGCAAGCAGGGTCAATCGCGCACCACCCACCTCCCGCATCCCGCCGCACATAGAGCCGCAGCGGCACGGCCGGCCGGCGGCCGCCCCTCTGCGCTACCGGCGCCAGCTGCAGGGAGGCGAGTATCTGGCTGTAGGGCTGCAGGCTGCCGGCCAGCACCTGGCACCACAGGTCCTCCTACAAACAGCATGGCACGCACAGGAGAAGCACCTTGGCGTGCAGCACGTGCCAGCGAGCACCGCTGCGCCTGCTCCCACTGCCCCTCCCCAAACACACAGCTGCTGCTCCCAAGCGCGAGCGGCGGCCCGGGCGGCGTGCATGCCTGCGCGCCCGCCGCCATCTCCATCACGCGCTGCGCGCTGCCGCGCGCGATGCAGGCGGCCTCCTTGAGGGAACCGAAGAAGGCGCCCCGCAGCGCGGACTCGCCGCCATACGCAGCCAGCTGCCTGTCGGGGAAGCCGCGGAAGTGGATGGTCAGCCGCCAGGGCAGCTCGCCGCCGGGCGCCGCCACCAAGTCGTACAGAACACCAGCGGGCACGCCCCTGCGGGGCAGACGCCAGGCAGACAGGCAAAAGCGGCGGCGCGGCGTGCTCAACACCTTAGCGCACGAGCATGCGGCCAGCAGGTCATTTTCTGGTTGCCTGGCTGGCAACTGCCTGCACCCAGCCGGCTGCAGCCAAGCAGCGGGCAGGCCTGCCGCCTCACCACTTGAGCGGCAGGTGGCCGTGCTCAAACCAGGGCGCTAGCTCGCCCGGCGGCAGCAGGTGCTGCAGCAGCGCCAGCGCCCGCGGCACCACGCTGTGCAGGTAGCTCTGACGGGGCACTAGGAACTGTGGCAGGGTGAAGGTGGCAGGCCAGTGCGATGGGAAAGGAAGGAAAGGGCGGTCGGCAAGCAGCAGCAAAGAGTCGCTGTAGGCGAAGCGGCAAAGTGAGGCGGCCTGGGGCACCGCAGGCACTCACATACAGCACCGGCGGCTGTTCTAGGGAGGACACCTCGTTCTCCGCCAGGTGAACCTGCAGCGGGACCTGCAGCAGTGCAGGGGAATCGCTAGCGCGCCCGTGTGAGCCGGGCGGCAGCGGCGGCCGCACGCGGACGGCGGGAGGCTAGCCCGGCTCGCTGTCAGGCGGGCAACCGGACTCTTCGCTTGCGTCACATGATCTACTACACTGCTGCGCATCCTAGAGAGGCAGCGAGCAGCCTCACTGACCGCTGCACGCCAGCATTCTTCCGTGACAGCTTGGCCGTCCGCCTGCTGCATGGCTGCAGGAGGTGGGTTCGGGGAATGCTCAGGCGGTGTGCTGAAGGAGATCCAGACGCGTTTTCCAACTTTGCCAGATCAGCTGCCACATCACAGACCCAGCAGGATGAGAGGGGCCTGCGGCGTCCTATTTCTTTCTTGGCGCAGTTGCGTAATGTGTTGAGCTCATGCAAATCCCTCCTGCACCCGCTCCACCGTCGGCTGCCCCTTGTCCGCAGCCTGCAGTGAGTTTCTGGTGCTGCAACTCTGGTAGATAACAATGAATGCATGTAGCAGCCTAATTCAAGGCTGCCCCAGCGTGCACCGGGCCTGGGCACTCCAGCAACCTGCTGGCCCTCACGGCAGAGTGCCGGTGGCAGCATATGCGGGCCCCAGGGCGTCGCGGCGTGGATCGCAAGAGGCTAGTTCAGTGGCAGGAGCCGCGCTGTTGGAGACCTTGGCAGCGGCGGCGCCGCCGCCTGGCAGCACCCCTGCCCTCGCCGCTGGCCTGTATGTGCAGCCGCACGCCAGCGCAGCTGATGATCAGTCGGCAGCTGCCCCAGCAGCGCAACCTGGACGGCGGTGGGACCGTGCCTATGCCGCCGCCGCTCCCAACATGCCGGCAGCAGCGTGGCCGCTGCGGCGCCCCACCGCAGCGCCCGGCACCGCGGCGACACAGGCCGGCGCCGACCCTCGGCTCTCCCGCCTCACGCAGCAGCTCATACAGTGCGGGAGCGAGGGGGAGATGCGGGGCGTGCTGGAGCGGGAGCGGGAGCAGGGGCTGGGCGGCGCAGACGTGCGGCGGCTGCTCACATACCTGGACCGGGCGGGGGCCGCTGACGTGGCGCTGGCGGCCTTCCACGCCATGAAGGCGGCAGGCCTGCCCTGGGCAGGTGGGTCCTGGTGGCAGCTGCCTAGCTGCATGCTCTGCGAGCTTGCTGACACAGAAACGGCGCCGCCAATGCCTGCGTGACCATCTTGGAGAATCGACACACCCTGTCGCCCCCACCCCACCCCCACCCGCCTGCCTGCAGGCGACGCCGTACTGCGCACCAAGCTGATCAAGATGCACAGCCGGCGGGCCAAGGACACAGGGGCGGCGCTGGCGCTGTACGACGAGATGCGGCGGGACGGCGTACTGCCTGACGTTGTCGCCTACAACATCTGCCTCACCGCGGCGGGTGGGTGGCGCGGGGTGGCGGCGCGGGGCCTGCAGGGGGCCACAGGCCAGGGGGAGGACAGGAGAGGGGCCTGCGAGCGCGGCTGTGCTGGCACGTGCACGTGCTCTCCCCAGCAGCCGGCGCCGCCGCCGAGCGCTCGCCGCCGCCGCTGCCGTGCCTCCCCGCAGGCCTGGGCCACCACTGGGGCCGCGTGCTGTCGCTGCTGGGCGACATGGAGGCGGCGGGGGTGGGCTGGGACGCCTTCACCTGCAGCGCGCTGCTCAGCGCCTGCCAGGCGTGCGGGCAGTGGGAGCAGGCGCTGGAGTGGTTTGGGCAGGCGCGCGCCACGCCGGGTGAGTAGGGCGAGGGTGCGAGGGGGGTGTGGGGCTTCCAGCGCGGCTGGCTCGCACCAGGTCTGCTGTGCAATGCGCGCCTGGGTGGCATGCCGGCAAGTCGCCGCCCTGACCTTCAAGCGGCCCGCCGCGCCTCGATGCCACACACACACATCCTGGCCTGCCCCCTGCCCCCCTGTCTCCGCCTGCAGGCCTCCAGCTCAACGTGGTCCACTACACCACCCTCATGAGCTGCCTGCAGAAGGCGGGGCAGGTGCGGCGCGCTGCGGCGGCTGGCCCGCGGCGCCGCGCGCGCACTCGCTGCCCTGGCCGTGGGGCGGCCCCTCCTCTGCCTGGGCACCCCACGCTTCGTGCTGCCTGCCGACGTGCGCCTCCCTCCCTCTGCGCGCGTGCCTGCCCACAGTGGGAGCGTTCGATGGATGTGTTCCGCCAGATGGAGGCGGCCGGTATCGTGCCCGACGTCATGGCACATAACGCCGCCATCGCCGCCTGCGCCAAGGCGCGCCGCCGCCTCCCCCCCGCCAGCCCGCATGCCTCGCCTCGCAGGCAGCCCGGGGGGTGCCACGCGCCGCGTGCTCGCCCGCTTGACTGAGAGCGCGCGCGTGTTGTGTGCGACCGGCTGGTGCAGGGCGGCGACTGGGAGGCTGGGTGGGCTGTGTTCCTGGCCATGCGCCAGGCGGGCCTCACCCCCTCCACCATCTCATACAACGCACTCATCTCTGCCTGCGAGCGCTGCGGCCAGCCAGACAGGTGCGCCCGGGGGGCCAGCAAGCCAGCGTGCATGCACGCCGCGGCCGGGCCCCGCCTGCAGCCGCCGGCCCCGCCCTCGCTGCTACGGCACGACCATCCTTACAATGCCACCACACACCCACACACCATAGCAACAGCAGCACCAAGCCTGCCTCCTCCCCCTGCGCCTCCTTTCCCCCTGCGCAGGGCCCTGGAAGTGTTCGCCAGCATGCAGCGCCGCGGCCAGGCGCCCCCCAACGCCGTCACCTTCAACACCCTCATCTCCGCCTGCGCCAAGGCGGGGCGGTATGCCAAGGCGCGAGAGCTGCATGCAGCCATGGCCGCCGCCGGCATCCCCGAGGACGTCTTCACCCTCAGCGCCCTCATCACAGGTGTGAGGGGCGGTGGCTGGTGGGCTGGGACCACAAGGCCGCACGCCGCAGCATGGCATGGCTGGCGTGGGCGGGCAGGCGGATTGGGGCTGCCCTCCAGCTGGCCGGGTAGAGGGGCTGAAGTGTGGGTGGGCGATCCCGCCTACCCCACCGCCCCTGCCTCCCACCCACCGCGCGCCACCTGCACCTGCCCCACCCCCCCGACCGCAGCCTGCGAGCGCATAGGGCACTGGCAGGGGGCGGAGGATCACTTTGTGGAGTTCCAGGCAAGAGGGGTGGCGCCCAACACGGTCGCCTACAACAGGCTCATCTCCGCGCTGGGCCGCTCCGGCGAGTGGCAGCGCGCCGTGGCCGCCTTCCGCGCCATGCAGCCCGGCGCCGCGGGCGGCGCCGCCAGCGCCAGCACCAGTAGCAGGGGCAGCACCAGCGGCAGCGGCAGCAGCAAAGTGCCGGCCAGCGGCGGCGGCGGCGGTGGCGGCGGCGACGAGTTTGTGTATCCCGCTTACGTCGGCGCCGTCCCCGCCAGGCCTGACCGCATAACCTACGGCTCGCTCATCGCGGCACTGGAGCGGGGCGGGCAGTGGCAGCGGGCGCTGGCGGTGTTTGAAGAGATGCAGGCGGCGGGCATGCAGGTGGAAGAAAACGCGGCGGCCGTGGTCGGCCACTTGTGCAGCCGCGGGGTGTGCCACGGTGTGGCTGCCTCTGCGCTGGGGAGGAGGTGCTGCGTGGGTGTGTGCCCGCCGCCGATGCCCTCTCGCCCTGCCGCCATGTGCCCCCCCCCTCTGGCTGCAGCCCAACGGCTACATCTTCACCTCCCTTATCAACGCCTGCGAGAAGGGCGGGCAGTGGGAGACCGCGGTGCGGCTGTTCAAGCTCATGCAGGGCCAGGACATCCCGCTGGGCAGCATGGCCATGGTGGCGCGCAAGGCGCTGTGAGTTGCGCCCGCCCTTTCCACCACACACGCACAGGGCTGAGCAGAGAGCGTTGCAGCTCCTGCCGCGGCCGCGCCCCAGCCGCCCAACCACCCAGCTGCCCATGCTTGCCCCTGCCCCTGCCCCCGCCGCAGCTACGCCTTCCCGCCGCTCATCCGCCTCATGCCGGCGCCGCTGCTGCAAGCGGCTCGCGCCACCGTGGATTCTGGGCGCGCGGCGCGGGAGTGGATCGACAGCAAGAAGGAGCAGGAGGAGGAGGGCTAGGGCCGCCGGCAGGGCTGCTGTGCGCCCGCTTCGTGGGCCTGCACAGCAACTGCTGCTGGGAGCGGCAGCCCCCGCCTGGGAACTGCGAGGAGAAGCACGCATCTCGACTTGTGACGTTCTCGGTTTCCCTCTGTACTGTCTCTCTCTCTACTCTGGTACCTCTATTCCCTCGTCAGCACATCCTCTGCAGCTTGTCCTCTGTTCTCACTCACGTGTTTGGTAACAGTTGACTAGGCACAAGCCTTGGCCTACCAACTGCCATCCAAGCCAGCAAACAGCAGTACCAGCAGTACTCGTGTTTCAGCGGTTTTCTCGTCATCTCCCGCTGCTCGCCGCGGGCCCCCTGCCGTTCTCCTCAGTCCACGTGCAGCTTGTCTTCCTGGAAGGCTGTGGCCACATACAGCAGCGTCCAGTAGCACACCAGCAGGCCCAGGCCGGCGGGCGCCTGGCTCCACACCTGCGCCAGCGGCACGCGGGTGATCTCTTGGCGGAACATGAATGTGTTGCCCGGGCCCCGGCACCGACCCCAGCTGCTTGGCAGCCCCTTGCCAGCCGCAGCCTCTGCCTCAGCCTGGCCCCCGACACCGACTCCCGCCCCCGCTACCAGCCGCCCCCCAAGCCAGCAACCCCAGCACACCAACCTCACCCCGCCACCAACCCCCAGCCTCACCAGCACCGCGGCTCCCAGGATGGATGCCACGCTGCCCACATACTGCGGGTGGGAGACGACGTTGAAGGGGAAGCCAGAGGCCCAGGGGATGGTGTGGCCCAGCTTGAAGCCGTAGTACACCCCCGGGTGGCCGATGGCCTGGAAGATGCCCACGTTGAGCCACTGCAGCGCCCAGGGGAGAGGATTCATCCCTCAGGGAGGGGTTGGTGCGCGGCAGCAGCGACCCGGCATTGGCGGTGGGCCATGGCACGCGGCAGCTGCGCTGGGCAAAGAGGTGTCATGGTGCAGGGCCATGCTGCGGCCTGCAGGGAGCCGTGCCCATCCAGGGCCGCCACGCAGCGCCACCGCCACCCACCTGGCCAAAGGCAAACAGCGCGATGCCCAGGGGCCAGGCCAGCGGCGGCACCGCCGTAACGTCCACGCCGGCGGGCTTGCGCAGCAGCCACCAGTAGGCCACCGACAGGAACTGCACCCCTGCAGCGGCAACACCAGGCAATCTGGTGGTAAGAGTGAGGCCAAGCCCAGCCAGCACACGGCATCGGCCCATGTGGTTGGCGCGTGATCGCACCCTTCAGGGCCCAGGCCAATGTCTCAAAGACCTCCACGCTGCGCTTTTTGAAAGCGGCCATCCATTGCTGCGGGAAGAACCAGATGTAGGCGTAGAGGAAGTGGGGAAGGGCCAGGCCTAGGCACACCAGAGTGTTGGAGTCTGCTTGTGAGAGCGGCATGGTGTCCAGAGGGTGATCAGGATACGAGGTGCCAGGCGATGGGCCAAGCATTTTGGGAACCCGCCACCCGCCGCCCCGTCAGCAGGCGGGCAGTTCAAATGCCGGGCTGCCTGCAGCATCGAGCCACTGGCGGCAGCTAGTCTAGTCCGCCACACAACATCTGACTCCTAGCATTGCCAAGTGAGAGAATACTCAGATCAAAGTTTAGATCAAAATTGAATGAAGCAAAAGGGCCATCGCAACAGTCGGCCAGGGGCAACAGGTTTCTGAATCATTGATTATATGAATGAAATGGGGATAATTGGACTAAATCAAGCGGAGCTGGGATCTTCGCCGCTGCGACACCGCACCACGGTGCCTTCCCAGTCTGGTGGCAGCGGGCCGGGCTGGGCGGCTGCTTTGCCCGCAGCGGTGCCCGCCCGCGCGATGCGCACCTCAGCGCCCAGCCGTGCCACCGCCGCCGCCTCCCGAATCTTAGTGGCAACGCCGCCGGTGGTATCATGCGCCGCGCTGCTGGTGCGCAGTGAGTCAACCACCTGGCCCTGCCGCGTGTAAGCCGTGAAGGCCGGCTCGCCGCTGCCGCTGGTGCCATCACTGCCGCTGGTGCCATCACTGCCAGCATCGGCATCCACCTGCAGCCGGCTAATCAGCTGCGCGCCGGGCTGGTCCGGCGGGCGGTCGTAGATGCCGGCCACATTTGTCTGCAGGGGAATGTCGTTGCCTGCTGTTGAGCGGGCAAGAGGGGGCAGCTTGGCGGCCTTCTCTGGCGCGGGGCGAGCAAGGCCGGGCAACACAGGGGGCAGGGCAGGGCCGGCAACTACCAGCAGCAGGCCAAAACTGACCAGGAAGGCGACCAGCGGGGGGCGGAAGCGGCGGCACAGGCTGGTGATGACCAGGTCCCCGCTCAGGATGGTGCACCCCAGCGCCTCATCCAGCACAGCGTCGCCGTGCAGCACCGGCACCAGGCCCGCAGCCAGCAGCGCCGCCACCGCGGCGCAGCCGTCCGCCACCACGCGGCGGTCGCGGGTGGTCCACGCGCCGCAGGGCGACAGGCCCACCGCTGGGAGCCCCGCCGCGCGCAGGGCCGCCACCACCGCGGCGTTGAGCTTGGTCACCGAGGCGCGCGTCGCGGCAAAGCCGTGGAGCACCGTACCGCAGGTGTGGATGCCGCCCGCCGCCACGCCCGTGGAGGCTGCCACGTGGTGGCCAAAGGAGCCGGCGCCGTGCACCACCACGAAGCGAGCGCCCAGCTGGGCATACAGCTGCGCCAGCTGCGAGGCGCACGCGCCCAGCACTGGCTCATTCAGCCGCTCCACCTGCTCCTTGTGCGTGATGGCGGCGCCCCCCAGCTTGATCAGCACGGTGGGCGTGGGTGCTGGCTGTGGTGACGGCAGGTCCATGTGTGTTGCGGGGGGCGCTGGCGGTGGCGAGGGGAGCGGCTGGGCGGTGAGGGGCGGGAGGGAGGCGGGACCCAGCCGCGGCGCGGCGGTCGCTCAGGACCGCGATCCCGCGGTGCAAACGCACCTAGTGTTGCTGTCTGCAGGCGCCAGCGACCAGCTGAGCGACGTGGTCGTGACTCACGCAAGGCCCTGGTGGCGCCAGTGGGCAGCAGGCCGCTGCAGATTGCAGATGATCGTGCTGGGATTGCCGAGGGGAGCCCAGAAGCCCCCACAAGTGCTGCGTGGAGGAGCACAGCAGGCACAGCACAGGACCGCAGCGCGACATACAACTACTGTACAGATACAGACAGATCCCATAGAACTAGCTTGTCAATTTTTGCGCTGGGGATTAAGCACGCTGTGAGACACAGTCTAAGTGAGTGCAGGTGCACCTAAAAAAAAGCGCCTGCTGCCCTGCCGCCGCGCCCGCCCCACAGCTGCTGGCGCTGAGCTGGCGCCACATAGCCGCTTCTGCTACTCTTCTCAATCATCCTGAACATGAGATCCGCCACGTCCTGAGCCGGCGCAGCCGCCAGCTGAATAATCACTTTCTGTTTGCTCTGGTCAGCCAGCCGGGCAAGCTGTGGTGTGTTGTCCACGAAGAAGGTACGGCACCTCTCGTGGAAGTGCGGCAAACCATACTCCAGAGCCAGCGCCAGGCATGCCGCCACACTGCCTCCGTCACGGCAGCACACACGCCAGCGAAAACTCTGCTCAGAGCATTTTCCCAGCAGCCAAATGGACACATGTTGGAATCGGCAAGCCCTGCACTGAGCTTCAGGACAGACTCTGAATTCGGAATGGCTCACTCTGGGCAAATGGACAGCTCACACTGGTACAGGAAGCGGTCGCAGAGCGCAGTCAGCGCCTCGCATTGGTACTTTCGGGCCAGCTCCAGGTTGAGGCGCACATCCGCCATGTTGGTCAGCACTGGAGGGCTTAGCATGTCTGGTCGGCGGTAGAGGGGGTCCAGCAATCCGACCTGCAGCTCATGCGCCGTCTCCACCACCGACATCGCCTTGGTGCCAGGCACGTCTTGCAAAAGGCGGTCGAAGACTTTGCACGAGCCCGCCAGGATGGCCGTGTGCACCCTGAAGGTGCCGCCGTCCTTTGTGGTGAGAGTGAAGTCGCACAGGGCCTGGGGTGGGTACACCACCTCTTCAGGCGCCTCATCGAAGAGGCGCCACAATTGTGCCGCCTCTGGGCGTGACAGGGCCTGGGGTGGGTACACTTCCTCTTCAGGAGCCTCATCGAAGAGGCGCCACAATTGTGGCGCCTCTGGGGACTCTGAGGAGCTCATAGCTGCGTAGCGTAGGCGAAGTAGCACGCTGCAGGCTAAACGAGGCCATGTAGGCATGGGTTTCCCTCTCCTTTCCACCAGTTCATCAACCCGCCTGCTGTGCCTCCCCACCTTCCTTTACAACCCAATCTACACAGGCCGTGTGAGAAGCACAAATGCAGCCAACCAGGCCGTCACTCCCCCGCCGCCGCCAGCTGCTCCTCCAGCCAGTCGGCGTGGCACGGCAGCCAGGTGTAGAGCGCGGGGCTGCTGGCGCTGGCCACCGAGGGGTCGGTGCTGCACGAGAAGCCGCTGACCAGCAGGCCCAGCTGCACCGCCGTGCCGCCCCCCGCCGGCAGCAGCGGTGCGCCCAGGTTGCCAGCGGCGCAGGCTCGGAAGTTGTGGCTGAGCGCTGCGGGTGAGGGACGGAGGGTTGGGGCAACAGCCACTTGATCGGTGGCATGGAATCGAACAATTTGTGAGCACCACATGCTGCCTGCCCTCTGCTCTCACCACCCTAGCCGCCGCCGCACCTGTGCACGCCTGCGCCTGCCCGGCGCCTGGCCCGCTGCCGAATGCCGCCGCCCCGTATGCCACCTGCAGCCCGTCACACTCGTCCTGCGGCAGCAGCGCCAGCACATCCCCGTGCAGCTGCGGCCAGTAGCCGTCGCCGCTCCTGCTGCCAAAGCCCAGCGCCATGACTGCCGTGCCGTTTCCTGGGTACGCATAGGCGGCTGCAAGGACGCGAGGCAGGCAGGGCAGGCTGCCTTTGTCACAGGCTGACAGCTGAGCACTCACGCGCTGTTCCCCAGCCAGGCGGGCAGCTCACCCACCTCCTGGCAGCGCCACCGGCTTTGCCCGGCTCGCCTTCTCCAGTACCACCAGGGCCAGGTTGCTGCTCTGCTGCGGGGCATCGGCCTGGAAGTCGGGGTGCACCACTACCCGCTCCACCCGGTGCATCTCATAGTCGCCCGGGCGCCTGCGGTGGGGCAGCGCCGGCGGTGGCAGCAGCACAGGTGCGGGTGGGGAGGGCGGGAGCCGAGCGGGCAGCGCTGGGCCAGTTGATCGGGCAGCAAACAAGGGCAGCAGGCATACGGCAGAACCTCCTGCCATCCACCACTTCAGCGGCTCCTCGCCTGAATGGGTCCAGGAAGATGTTGCTCATGCCCACAAACACAAGGTCTGGCTCCGGCTGGCTGCCGCCAGCTGCCACGCACGAGGCGGCGGTGAGCACGGTGCGGCTGCCCACCAGCGTGCCCGTGCACAGCGGCCCGGCCTCCTTATTCAGCACCATGGAGACGAAAGGGTACTCGTCCGCCGGGGTGGATTCCATTGACAGCGAGGACACATACTGGGCGGCAGCGGGGAGGGCGCTGCACATGGCAGGCGGCAGCGGCGGCGGGTGGGCATGTCAGCCATGTGCCGGTGGTAGTCGAGTGCCCACTGCAGCAGGCTCTCCTGATTGCGGATTCTATGCCCACCTGCTCGCAATGGCGAGGAGGCTTGCAGCCAACAGGGCCAAGCAACCTGGTCGCGACATGTGGATGGCAGCGGGGATCTGTTCGCGGCACGGATCGTAGACCCGCTTCGGGCGGTTTATAGCGCTGGAAGTGCCAGCAGAGCGGGCGGCGGCCCTTTCCTCCAACACTCCAGACTCCCAACCGCTCGGTGCCAACCCGCAGACGGCAACAGGCAGCCACAGCTGTTCGCTCTCGGCTGCACCGCATCTGCTGCCATCCCATTCTGATCCAGCATGCGCCAATAAGGCGGTGGTGCGCCAGTAAGATGTGGCAGCGCGCATGCGCGGGGATGCCAAGGCGACTCCTTCTCGAGGCGCTGCTGCTATTTCTAGCAATTGCATGCACGCCCGAATGCAGCGCCGGGGGCGCCCGGCTGGTCGACAGGACCGCCGCCAGGTGAGTGGCGGTGGGCGGTGGCGGCAGCGGTGGCGGCCATGTTCCGCGAGCCCTCCCACATCTTCCTTGCTGTTACTCGAGCCGACGCAGGTGCCAATCGGGGCTCTTGGCAGCCTTTCACTCAGCCGAACCGTCCATGCAACGCCTCCGCCACGCACAAATCCGTGCCCGCAGGGTGGCGCCGCGGGAGCTGCTGGTGGGCGGGCGGGCGCGGCAGCAGGAGGACCGCTTCCCCTACATGACCCGCATCCACTTCCTGCTGGACGACACCCTAGGCCTGCTGCCGGGGTGCGGCGGCACCCTCGTCACGCCCCGCGTGGTGCTGACGGCGGCGCACTGCATGGCGCTGGCGCTCAGGGACGGATCCAACGTCTTCCTCCGCGTCGGCGCCTACAACCCGCTCACGGATGAGGCCCGCAGGGTGGGGCAGGGGCGCGCCACACTGAATACATGGCCCTCCCACCGGGATGCCAGCCTGCTGCCCTGCACGCCGGCATGCACGCATGCTGCGCATCCTGCATCCGCTGCCCGTGTGACCGCCGGCCTCCCCCACCCGGTGCTGCGTGCCTGCAGCACAAGTTTGAGAAGCGGCGGGTGGCGGCCTTCCGCACCCACCCCGACTACGTGCAGCTGCCAGAGGACCAGCCCACCAGCCCCCACGACCTGGCCCTCATCCTACTGGACAGCCCCGTACCGCCAGACTTCCCCACCATCACCCTGCCAGACGGTGCGCACGCCCTGCAGAGGCAGGGAGGCGGCGTGGTGTGTGGGAGCGAGGCTGGGGCAGTGCATGTCAACGCTCCACTGATCTGGTGTTTCCACTGCCAGCCAGGATGAGATGCTGACTCGCCACTTGCCTGTCCCTGGCCCTGCAGCGGACACGCCTTACCCCGACCACGGCGAGCAGCTGCAGGCGGTGGGGTGGGGCAGCACCGACACAGACAACACGCAGGTGGCGTATGCGCTGCACGACGTGGGCCTGCCCGCGGTGGACCTGGAGCGTTGCGCCCAGCAGTGGAGCTACGCCGGCGCGGGGGCGGGCGTGATCAGCCAGGGGCACCTGTGCGCAGGTGAGGCGGGGAATGGGTGCTGTGTGCTGGTGCTTGCGCCCGGGCATGCAGCAGCTGTGCAGAGCCACACGACTCGCGTCTATATCCAGCTGCCAGCTGCTGACAGCCAGCTGTTCCCGGCGCCATCATCAAGCCGCTCCCCTCCCTCTGCCGCCTGCAGGCCTGCAGTCCCAGCAGAATATCTGCTTCGGCGACTCTGGCGGCCCGCTGCTGCGCCTGGGCGACAGCGCGGCCAGCGACGTGCAGCTGGGCATCACCAGCTTCTCCTTTCCAGAGTGCGCACTGCCGGGCATGCCCAGCGTGTTCACCTTCCTGCCACGCTACAGGTGAGCATGGCACAGCAGAGGTGTCGGGGGCCGTGGAATGCTGGTTTAGTGGCAAAGCAGCTTCAGGGGCGCTGATGTCAGCAGGTGGCTGGCAGGCATGGGCAGGCGGTGTCAACTCTGTGGACTGGCTGCGGTGCAGGAGCTGGATCGACGAGCAGGTGCTGGAGCTGGACCCCCCAGCCCCTCCCTCGCCGCCGCCGCAACCTCCCAAGCCCTCGCCGCCGCCACCGCGGCCACGGCCATCGCCGCCACCGCGCCCGCGGCCGTCGGCCCCTGAGGAAGATGAGGAAGAGTCTGTGCGGGCAGCAGCCGCCAAGCAGGTTGATGGCAAGGCAGCAGCGCCGGCCAGATCAGCAGACAAGGAGGAGGCGGGCAAGGGCACGCAGCGGGAGGAGCAGGAGCAACCTACGCCGACGAAGGAAGAGCGGGTGGATCAGAAGCAGCAGCCTAATGAGCCCCTACAAACAAAGGAGGAGGAGCAGGAGGAGCAGGAGGAGCAAGAGGAGGAGGAACAGGAGAAGCAGCAGCAGCAGCAGGAGGAGGAAGGGCAGCCACCTGATGCAGAGGAGGAGGGGCAGGAGGACGAGGAACCAAAGGAGGAGGAGAAGGAAGCCGAGCAGGCACCCACCCCGGAAGAGGACGAGGAGTAGGCAGTTGAGTAAAGCTGTCAGCTGTCAAGTTATGTACCGTTGAAATTTGATTTGATTACACCATTCCAATGTCCATCATTTTGTGAAAGAGAAACCTCAACCACACAGCATCAGGTCAGCAGCTGCGGCTGAGCAGAACCAATGCAATTGAAGAGGGAGTGTCGAGCAGAGGGAGTGAAAAATGTTGTCAAAAACAATGCATGCTCGGGGCAAAAACACATGCAGGGTCGAAGCTAGCCCATGCAGATCAACTCAACACAAAAGAAGGCCAGCAGACGCTCCGCGTCCGCTGCGAAACGGCCGCCGTTAGCTGCACCCGACGCTGCCGATGCCGCACACGAGCAGGGTGGCGCCGCTGTCGCCGGCCTGCCAGCTGAGCCGCTGCGGGTCGTGCTGGGCGGCAGCCACCGCTGCCACAAAGCTGAAGCGGTGGTGCGTGAGCCACGGCAGCGCCAGCGGCGCCGCCAGCTCCTCGTGACCTGCAGCGCTGGACTTGAGGGAGCCCTGCAGACGCGCAGCAGGTGGGCAGGCAGCAGGCCCAGCTCAGCTTCTGCCCAGCCGGAGCATGCCCGGGCAGCCAGGCGGGTGGCTGGCGGACACGAGAGGCAGAGGCGCTGCTGCATCCACCGCTGATGAAGGTAGCGGATGAAGGTAGAGCCCACCACCCCGCACAGCACCCACCTGCAGCAGCAGCATGTGCGCCCCCTGCTTGTACGCGTCCCGGGGCTGCAGCCGCACAATGGTGGCGGTGGGGATCGCCTGCAGCATGTCCAGCAGCACTGCAGGAGGCAGCCGCGGGGGAAAAAGGAAGGAGACACCAGACGCCATCATAGGTACATGGCTGTGTGTGCAGCGCAGAAGGTGCAGCAGCGGCAACTGGCGCCAGGCGGGCGCCACGCGGCGAGGCAGGCAAGCAAGCGCCCGTCCCACAGCCGGGGCGGGCGCCCCCCCACCTTGGGCGGTGTAGCGCCCCACACGCTCCGGCAGCTGCTGGTGCCGGTGGGTGGCAGCAGAGTACTTGGTCAGCGGGCGGTGGCGCTCCAAATAGGACCTGCGGGGATGGAGGTGCGAGAGGGTGGGAGGGGTTGTGTGTGCGGCACTCGTTGATGGCGGCGGCGGCGTGTGTGCTGTGTGGCGCATGCGCCTGCCACCGGAAAGGCGCAGCCCGCTGCACTTTCTTCCAGACCCTCCTAGCTGCTCACCTGACCAGCCCCTGCACGCCGCCCTGCACGTGCTGCACCGCATGCAGCGCCGCCGCACGCAGCAGCTCTGCCTCCAGTGCGGCGGCGGGGGCATCGCCGCCGCCGGCCCTGCAGCAGCATAGCCAGCGGCGTGCAAGGGAGCCGCCTCAGCGGCTCGCCGTGGGGAGCGGGTCGGCTGCCCAAGGTCCCCCACGGCACATCGGCATGCAGCCCGGCCCGGCAGCTTGTACAGCCGAAAGGCCTGCTGGCTGGCTGGCGACCGGGCTGGCTGGCCTCACCGCTTGCGCAGCGCCTCCACGGCGGCGGCGGTGAAGCGGTACACCACCGGCCCGCGCCCAAAGCTGTTGCCGCAGGCCTGCACCAGCTCGGAGCCGGGCAGGCGGCAGCCCGCCAGGCCCGGCAGCAGGCCAAACAGCGCCCCCACGCCCGCCAGCTGCTGCGTGGCGGCGCCGTCGGGAGCCACGTAGGCCAGGCGTACCACGCCCGAGACGACCAGGTAGAAGCCGCCGGTACCGCCGGTACCGCCACCGCCGCACGCGCCGCCGCTGCCTGTGCTGCCCTCCAGCTCCGAGCTCCAGATCACCGCATCAGGCTTGTACTCTGCGGGTGGGCGCGTGGTGGAGAGAGGAGGGGCAGGGGCGGGGACGGTGGGAGGCAGAGAGGGGCAGGAGCGGGATGCCGGCAGCAGGAGGGGAGGTGCTGGTGGCAGGACGGGGGGGTGCCAGCACCTGGGTAGAAGATCAGCAGCAACAGGGCTAGGCCTGGCTTTGCACACGCCTTGCTGGCGGGAGCAGAAGGCAGCAGGTCAGCGGCAGCAGCGCGGGGAGGCGGCCCCGCGGAGCGTCCTCACCCGTCAGCCGCGCGTGCTGCAGCAGCGCGTCTGTCAGCTCTGTGGGCGCCGCCGCAAAGATGTCCAGGGAACGCAGCACTTGGTGGGGCGCGGGGGGCCGCCAGGAGGGCCCCGTCATGTCCAGCTGGCGCATGGCGGCGCCCACCGCGCCCAGCAGCGCCTCCCGCTCCTCCTCATCCACCCCTCCCCGCTCATACAGGTCGCCGATGAAGGTGCGCTGCTGGCGCAGGACGGCCATGGCGGCGCGGTACGACTGCGCATGGGTTTGGGGCACGTGCGCGTGTTGGGAGGGCGGGTGGTAGCGAGCGGCCGGGGAAGGAGCGCAGGCAAGACGCTGCTGATCAGGTGAAGGGAAGCCGGAGTGGCTGCACAGGATGCATGCAGGGCTGGCGTGCGCACGGCCAGGCGGCGAGGCTGCGGCAGCGCTCGAGCTCCCCTAGGGCCCCAGCCCCGGCAGCCGCCAGCCCTGCCGGCGCACCTGTACCGCACGGTACTGCGCCGGCGCCTCTGCCTCCCGCTCCTGGATGAACTCGTAGGCGCCCAGCAGCTGCTCCTGCACCTCCTCCAGCACCTCCACGGGACCGTCCTCGCTGAAGTACACCCACTGCGGTACAGACGGTATGGGAGGGGAGCGGGGCAGTGCAGAAGGATGGTGGTGAGTTGGTGGAACAGAGGTAGGAAGCACAGGGCACGGCAAGTTCAGCTGGGAAGAGGTGTTGGGGAGGATGCCGGTGGCTGACCGCCGGCGCTGGCAGGGGCACGGCAGCAGCAGTGCTCCCACCTGCATCTGCGGGCTGGCTGCCAGCCCCATGTAGAGCTCCACAGTGGCCTCGCACGCAATCAGCATCTTGCTGCGGGCAGCGGGGCCAGGCAGGGGAGGGAGGGGGGTCGCAGGAAGGCGTCAGCACGCACGCCCGCAGGACCGTGCCGAGAGCGGTCGTGTTGAGCTGCTGGTCGCCCAACGTTTACTCATCGGCCGTGGCAGCGAGAGCAGTGCCAAGTTGCCTTGCACCGCCCTGTTCCAGCTCCCGTCTGAGCCCCCACCTGCCCAGGTGCTTGCGCAGCATGCCGGTGAAGAGGCGGAAGGGCCAGGCGGTGGCGGCGCGCCACCAGCGCGGCGCGGAGCGGTGCACGCGCAGCGTGGCGCCCAGCACGTTCGCCACGCTGTGGGTGATCCAGGTGCCGCTGCGGCAGGAACAAAGGAAGCAGGGCAGGCAGGCATACAGGGCAGGCAGGCAGGTGTGGGGATGAGCCGCCATCACTTCTTGTGGTGCTCAGAAGCGAGGCGTCGCAGGCAGGAGGGCCGGCGACCAGGCTGCGCAGCACGTGCCTCGCCATGCACCACAGCCCAGCCAAGCCAGCCGCTGCCATGCTACACCCGCTCCTCCCGGCACCGCCCCCACCTAATCTCCTTCCTCAGCACCGGCCACAGCTGCAGCGGGTGGTTAGGGCGGTGCTCCGCCATCTCAATCGCCTTGTCGCACGCATAGCTGCAGCCAAATGGGATGCTGGGGAGTGAGACGCGATGTGCAGGGGGCAAAGCAGCAGCACCGGCATGCATGCCCCCTCATTACCTCCACCTGAAGCCCCCCTCCCTCCCTGCGGAATGGATGGCACATGCTCGGGAGAGCAGCACGCCCACAGGCCCAGCGCACACACCTGGCCACCCTCAGGCCATCAGGTGACAGCAGCCCCGCCATGCGCTGCGATCGGAAGTGGCGCTTCATGCCGTGCAGGATGCGCAGCCGCATGTCCGCGAGGCTGGGCCCGCCGCCGCCGCCGCCCTCCTCGCTATCGCCAGGCTTGGGGGAGTCGTCGGCAGCTTCGCCGGCGCCCTGCCCTGACTCCAGGTCGCCTGCTGCCGCTGCTGCTGCTGCGGTAGCGGGTGTGGCGCCGTCTGCGTCTGCGGCGCCGAGGTAGCGGGCTGCGCCAAAGGTGATGTGCTTGCTCATCTGGCGGGCCACCTGCTGGGAGGGAACACGCGACAGCAGCGCCGACGACAGGCCCTGGCGGGCGACGGCGGGGCCCCCGCCCGCCGACGCGTGCTCCACGTCGCTGCAGAGAGCAGGGTGGGGGCGCGGCGCGTGCGGGGGAGGTGAGGCGCGGCGCAGAGGCGCTGAGCTCACAGCAGGGCACCGGCGGCAGGCAGCAAGGAACAGCCTGGTGCCCCGAAACAAGCAACAGCCCGGCCCGTGCCGCAGCATATGGTGCTGCTGGCGCTGCTGCCGGCTGCCCACCTAATGGGTGTGTGCAGCCGGCCCAGCAGGTCGCGGGCGCTGCCTGCTCCGGCCGCCGCGGCGCGCGACGCCGCCACCCCCGACGCCTGGCGCCGCACCAGCGCGGCGGCGGCCTGCGAGGCCGGGGCGCCGTCGGCGCTGGCCGCCGCCAGCTGCCTCTGCAGCGCCTCTGCCGTCCAGGCGGTCTCCTCGGCGGCGGGCTCGCCGGGCGGGCTGTGCCCGGCCACCCGCTCCACTCCCTCCAGGCTGTGCCGCCACTTGACCTCAAAGTCGGCCTCGCCAGTCTCGCCGTCCCCGCTGCCGAGGCGGTCAAACAGCATCTCCACCTCCTCCTCTCCATCCAGCACGAGAGAGGTGGCGGTGTAGCTGGGCGGAGGTGCGAGGGCGTCGCCCGCGACGTCGGCGGCGCTGCCGGGCAGGCGCACGCTGCGCCGGGAGTGGCCCGCACCTTGCTGCGAGCCGGGGGAGGTGCCCAGCACGGCGGCCGCCGCGGCCGCCGCCGCGGCATCTGCCGCAGACACTGGGTCGTAGAAGCTGTCCCCGTGGTTGCCCTTGGCTGCCGCCCGCAGGGCCGCCACGTTCAGCGCGACGCCGCCGTCCATGCTGGCGCGCGCCAGGCCCGCCGTCGGCGGCACGGCCACGCCCTGCCTGTGGCGCAGCGGGGCGAGGAGGGCGGGCAGCAGGCACCCAGGGTGAGCTGAGAGTGCAAGACCCATAGGCTGGGTTTGCAGCACAGAGCGGGCAGCGGGAGCATCAGCGCGGCGGCGCGCAGGTGGACAGGGCCGGCTCCTGCCCTTGCTGCGGGGTGGGCCTGGCCTGGCATGGCTCGCGCCGCCTGGCTGCTGCGTGCCTGTTGATGAAGGGAACCTCCAAGTCAGCAGGGTCTTGGCCATCGGCCCCCCAAGAGGGAGCCTCCTCCTCGCCAGCGCCGGCACTTGCCGTCGCAGGCTTGGCCGGCGCCTCCTCGTCCCCGGCGCCGCCACCCGCCGCCGCAGGCGGCTTGGCGGCCAAGCAGGGCCTGAAGCAGGCGGCGAGCCAGGCGCCGCAGGCAGCCGCCGCGCCGGCGCGGGGCTTGCCGCCGGCCGCGCCGCGCGGCTTGGGGGCAAAGCCCTTGAGCCGATCGGAGTGATCCACAAACCTGGCCACCAGCGACCAGTTGGCGCCTGCCAGTTGGGGCAGCACCAAGGAGGGCCATCAGCCAGTCAGCAGCGCAACGAGGGGAGCCAAAGGACGAAACAGACGGGTCCCGAAATGCCGCCCGGGCGGCCGCCAGGTCGGCATCCACACACCGCACAAACACAGGGCGGCGCGGGGCCCGCAGCCGGCGGCGCACCCTGCAGGAACTCTCCGTCCTGCTGCTGCTTGAGCTCTGCGATGGAGTCGCGAGTGAAGGAGGCCAGCTCCTGCGCCGCCTGCCTGCGCCCTCGCACCTTGTCCGGAGAGATACGGCTGCAGGGCGGGGAGGGGGAGGGGGAGGGTGGTGGTGATGGTGGTGGTGGGTGGGAGGTAGGGTGGGTGGTGGCTGCGTGCGTGGCTGTTGTGTTGTTGTCGTGAGTGGCACGATGTGGGACGGCCTCCTGCTGCCAAAGGCAGGCGTTGCGCACGGCAGCCCCTCCGACCCCGCCGCACGTCAGCCCGGTCCAGCTCATTACGGGGCCGATCAGCGGGGCGTTGATCAACAGGCTGAGCAGCACAAAGGCGCTGGCCCACAGCACCACATCAAAGTTGGCCTCGTCTGTGGTGGTGGGGGGAGCAAGCAGCAGCGGCAGGCCGCTCAGCCAGGGCAGGCCTGGCGCTGCGGCAGAAAAACAAGGGAGGGAGCAGCCATGCCAGACCCCGGCGGCTGGCGGCACCGGCCACGGCGGCGTCGGCAGCTGCTGCGCACACCCACGGGCGCCCCCGAGTAGAAGTGGGAGTGTATGATGAAGTCTGCGGCCATGATGAGGGTGAGCGCGCCGCGCAGGCCAGACACGGTGGCAAAGGAGATGTCGGGGAGCGTGAGGCCTGCAGCGCAGCGCAGGGCGGGGTGGTGTGTGTGTGTGTGTGTGTGTGCAGGAGGGGAGCGCCGGGCATGGTTGCAGTGGGAGTGGGCAGGCAGGCAGAGTGCAGGGCTGCAGGCGCTCGAGCCGCGGCCTCCAACAGCCCGATGCCGCCGCCTGGCAAGTGCAGAAGCGCAGGCGCAGCCAGCGCGGAGTGCTCGCGGCCCAGCACCGCAGCGAGCGACCCAACAAAGCCGTGTGCCTCGTGCGGTATCCTGCCCGCTCGCGTTATCCCAGCCACCACTCACGGTATCCCAGCAGCCTGAACAGCGGGTTGAAGGCCAGGGTGCACACAAAGCGGAAGGCATACATGAAGAGGTAGACGATGGGGATGGCGGCAAAGTTCCAGGCGCTCTTGTTCAGCTGGCTCGCGGATCTGCGGGGGCACGCGGGAACACGGCGTGGCGCGGCGGGGTGGGCGCAGGCACGCGGTGTGCCCTGGCGGTTGCGCCCTGCCACCCGGCGAGGCCCGCCGGTGCCGGCCACGGAAGCTGGGACAGGGGCGGCCGGGGGGGCGGCTTCGCGGGCAGGCAGGCGGGCAGGACGGCGGACAGCCAGGGAGGCGGGCGGGCACGGCACGGCGGCGGCCGGGGCCCGCTGGCCCAGGCCCGCCCCCATGCTGCCGCCCTGTGTGTAGTGTGCACCTGCGCACAAAGTTGACTGAGGAGATGCCGGACCAGAAGAACACGAGGGCGTTGGCGGCAAAGGCCACCGTGTCCCACACCGCCTCGTGGATGCCGCTCTCTGCGCGGAGCGGCGCACGGTGTGGGTGGCGGGAGCAGGGGCGGGTGGTAAGGCACGGGGCGGCGGGCAGGGCAGGCGGCGGGCTGGGTGGCGGGCGGTCCTGGAACTGGGAGGGTCATGTGCCACAGGCAGGCAGGCTGGCAGGCAGGCAGGCGACACAGCGGGCTGGCAGGCAGCACAGCGGGCTGGCATGGTTGCCAGGCGGGCGGGCGGCGCGCACCCGCGTCTGTTGCCAGCATGCCCCAGTGGCCGGTGGCGCTGCCGTACAGGCCAAAGATGACGACGGCGATGACGCCTGAGCCCTTGGCGGGAGCCTGCAGGGCAGGGGTGGAGGAAAGGGTGGGTGGGGTGGTGGGGCACAAGGTCCTGCCTGCCCGAGCAGCATATGGCCTGGGTGTGTGCAGGCAGCGGCAAAGGACCCAGGGGCGCCAGCCAGGCGCGTCGCTGTCCACGCCCTGCCCATCCTGCTTGCCTGCGTCACATAGAAGCAGAGGTAGCCGGTGCCCAGCACCACCACGCTCTCGATGAAGGCTTTGACGCCCCGCCAGCGCAGCAGCTTGAGCAGGTAGCCCAGCACAAAGGCAAAGGCCAGGCCCATGCCCATGCCGATCCCCGTCAGCCTGCGGGGGGAAGGGAGCAGGGCTCGCTCGCGGGCCGCGCCTCCTGCACCCCACGCAGGGCAGGAAAAACAAACCTGCCCCGCCGGCGTGCGCCCGCAGCCGCCGCCCGCGTGGCTGCGCTGCTGGGTGGGTGGGGCAGCACGCACAGCGCGCACAGCACGCACCTCAGGATTTCCACGATGATGGGCCAGATCTGGGAGGGCACAGAGGGCATGTCGTCTGGCGAGCTCTCGATGAGGATGTGCAGGAAGACTGCGCGGGAGGAAAGGAGGCGGGGGCGGGGCTCGTGGGCGAGGCAGGCTGGTTGGCGTGCCTTGGTGGCCGGCCAGCAGCCCTCCCGTGTCTGCTGGCCGCAGCCGACAGTTGCGCAAGGAGCCGCGCCCTGTGCACGACATCCCCTGCCCTGCCTGCCCTGCCCCTGCACCACCAACCGCCCCCACGTCTCCCCACCACCACCCGCACACACACACACACACACACACACACCGGTGTACAGCGTGACTGCCGAGGCGTCGTTCAGCAGCGCCTCCCCCTCCATCAGCACCACCATGTTCTCGGGGCCGCCGCCCGCCTTGAGGATCGCGGTCACTGCGGGGGGCGGGCGGGCGTGGGTGGGGAGGTGGAGGCGTGGTGTGTGGGTGTGGGGTGTGTGTGTGTGTGT